ACCCTAATATCAAAATACAATCCTATAAGGGCAATACTCGAAGCAATCGCCTCCTGCGCTCCCCGACCAACAATCACTTATTTATTGGCCCACGTCACATTACTTTTAAAGGGTAACCGGCAACCTTTAATAGTAAGTTTTTAAAAACGAGAAATTTCAGATGAGGCATTTTTTGTGATTCTGCGACTTCGTTTATTATTTTTTTTTTAACCGACGATTAAACAATTGAATCTGAAGCAGATGAGTTTTTAGTTGAAGTACAAAAAGTAAATATAAAATGTTAATATTAGATTTGAGAAATTTCTTTTTTGCTTTTTTTCTCTTGAAATCCACTTAAGATAATTAAATAAAATTTTTTTTGTGTTTTAATTGCTAATTTGAGTAATATCAGACTTATGAAGTGAAATTTTTATCTTCTTTTAGCAATGATTTAGCGATTAAATAAGTATATTTTATCTTTCTTTTTTTTTTTTCAATTCTGAAGTTGGGTATCAAAGACAGGAATTTAAGGTTGAAAATTTAGCTTTGATTAATTTAAATTTTGAATCTTGTGAAATTTTGTTCCATTGGAGCTTTTGGATTAAGATTTGGTGCGCATGGCTGATCGGGGGGTTTTGATGAGGTGAAGTGCAACCTCCGCCGAACTAAAACAACGTGGCCCAATGAAGGGGCAGTGTTGGCTGGAAAGTGCAGAAAGCGAGTGCCCCTAGTACTGCTCCGATAAAATTACCAGGGTGATTGGTTGAAGACTTGAAAGTATATATAACAATCCCTTCAAAAAAAGAAAGTATATATAACAAAAGAGATTTATTTATTTTATATTTTAAGGTGTACGATAAAAACAATAATTATAATTTTTATTTTTTAATTAAAAATAAATTAATAAAAATTTAGCACCTGATATTTTTAATTAAAATAAAAAATAATTTATTATTTTAAAATAAAAAATAATTATTATTAATTAATAATTATTTAATCATTACTCTTAAAAAAAAAAAAACTCTTAACAGGTTGCAAACTTGCAATACAGTTCAAACCGGTTGCTCTTTCATTGACTTAAATGAAGTGTGACGTGGTCCAATAAATAAGTAGGTGTTGGTTGGAGAGTGCAGAAGCCGACTGCCCCTAACACTGCTCAAAGGTTATGATTTTTTTTTTTCGGTTACCCTCCGGTATCCGGGTTTTGCCTCGACTAATCCAGATCGACTCGCGTTGCGTATCTGAAAATGATGGGTGAGTTTCCCAACAAAAACTGCTGCGTTAAAATTTAAATTAGAGACAAAAATAATTAGTTTAATATTTTGATTATTGATAACAACTAAATCAATAATGAATACTTATTTTGAGTCTCACAATAATTACATTTAGTTAAAATTTAAAATTTTTAAAGAATATAAATATAAAAAATTTATATCAATTGACTTCAAAAAATTA